TGTATTTGGATCCTATTTAACTCGTAATTATTCCTCTGTGTGTATCTGAGGGAGTCCCCACATCCCTCCCCTATAAAGCTGTTATCCAGATGCCTGTGCTCTTCCTTAGGTGATGGGAGGTTCTGCCTCCCTCCTGCCAGTGCACTGCCCTGCTGGGGTCCCTGGGAAGCCGGGTGGGGACAGCAGACCCACACAGCTGGCAGCTTGCCAGCACAGCTGGAGGGGAGAGACCACAGGACCTTCTTTCCTTCCACCGTGCACTGCCCCTTCCCTGCAGATATGACAGTGCCTGGAGCAGCGCATCCCTGCATGATGCCGGCTGCCCTTCTCCTTGGCACGAAGGGCTGGGAAGGAGGACGCCCAGGATGCCTGCCCTGCCTGCCCTGCCTCCATTCTGCATCCCTGGTGGGGTCTGTGCTTTGCCGGGAAAAATTAAGCTGCCTTGCACAGCAGAGCTGATTAATTAGCTAATGCAGCAGTGCTGTTTTCCATGCTGCAATCAGCCTGGTTGCACTGGTGTGGCGTTGCCCTGAAAGTGAGGCGGGGATGGAGCCCTCCTGGGTTTACGGCAGTGCTCAGGCTGTTTGTGAGGGCTCAGTGCTGTGGTGAGCCCCCTTTTCCCATGGTGGCATCTAAACCCCACTCAGCCCCCTTCCGGGCTCATTCCATGATCCTCTTGGGGTCCTTTCTGGGCTCATTCCATGACACTCTTGGGGTCCTGCTTGTTCTGGCTGGACTCAAAGCAACCCCTAGTAGCAGCATGACAACAGACACCCTCTGCCACCTCTCTAGAAGCACTAGGGTTAAGCCCTGGCCCCCCCAAGCAAGCAGGCTGCCCTTGTCCTCAGGATGCTGAAAGGTCCTGGCAGACCCTATAGACATCCTGTGCCTCCTGCACATTTTCTGGGCCTTCCCTTGGGGATGCCAAGATGCCTGTACAGGCACAGGGACCTGCCCCACAATGCCCAGCCTCTCCAAATCCCCCTCAGCCCGGGGGGCAGCCCTGCTTCACCACCCCACTGCACATAGGGCTGCAGGAGCAGAGTGGGCTGGGCTGCCCCGTCCCCAGGCAGCCCCTGGTGTCCCCCTCTTGCCCCACATCCAGTTGTCCCCTCCTCTCTTCTCCCTGTCCCTGCCTGGGGGTGGCAGGGAGGGGTGCCTGCCCCCGAGAGCCCCCGGTCGCCTCCGGCAGCCGGGCAGCGAGGGATGGGACAGGTAAGCATTGGTGCGGGGCTGTCACACCTCTTGGGGCTGAGTAACGCCTGGCAGTGGCTGGGGCTGCTGTGGAGCTGGGGAGCAGCACCCTGGTCAGAGGACAGATGTGATGCTTTTGGGACAGAGATGGGCAGGGGAAACAGATGATGGGAGAGAGGAGCATGGAGAGGGATGGAGGGATGGACGAACGACAGTCCTGTGCGGGGTGACCGTGGTCCTCAGTGGCTGCTGGCAGCTCAGCAGCTTCCCCTTGGGCGTGTGTCATCCCCGGTGCCCAAGCAACCCATTGCAGGGTACCAGGGTACCGCAGGGCCCAGATGGCCACGCAGGAGGTGTCTGGATCCCTGTCACTGCCCGGGGGACAGCCCTTGCTCCAAGGGGGGAGATGTGAGCCAGGGCAGGGGCCAGGTGCCAGGAGCCTGCACTGGCTGGTGTAATGCAGAGAAAGAGAGGAATAAATGTGGGGAAGAGGGTTAAAAAAAAAGGGAAAAAGGAGGGGGAAGTAGGAAAGTCCCACTGCCCCAGGGGAGCTGTTCTCCCCCCCCCCCCAGCAGGCACACAGGACTGGCCACAGAGATACTGGCAGATGCCAGCCCATGGCTGCAGGAGCCTCAGGGCCAAAGACATCACCATCTGACATACAATCTGGTCCTCCAGCAATGGGGAAGCACGGGGAGGACCACAGGCTGGAGCTGGGCACATCCGGGTGAGGGTGAGATGGAGGGGGCAGGGATGGCAGGGGCAGACAGGAACAGGAGAGACAGAAAGCAGCAAAAAAAAAAGTGTGCCAGGGAGGAGGAGGGCAGCTGAAGGGATGTCACAGACTTAAAACATTCACCTTGATGGGCTGTGACAGGTTTAATTTCCAGAGTACAACCATTAAAGTGATGGATGGGAGGCGTTCATCTCGCGCCTGGCGTGCACGGGCCCTCCGTGGCTGCAGGAGGGTTTGTTTTGTTGCTGTTATTTATGAGGTTGTTTCTACAGCAGCCAGGCACTCATCCAGTGCCGGGGGGACAGGGGAGGGGACACGATTGATGCTGGGGGAGTTGGGGTGCTGATTTACGGCTGCTTAGCCGGATGACTCATGTTGTAAACATCGACAAATGCCATTAAAGCTGCATCTCCCTCCTGCCTCTGCCCTGGCACCTTCCCTGCGCTGCAGGGCGCAGCCAGCCCTGCTCTCCACCACGCTCAGGGCTGTCTGGCCCTCCCCACCGGGGACACAAGGGTGGCCCCTCCTTGAGGGACACCCAGGGCCCTAGGAAGTGGTGGTGTCCCTTGGGAATGGTACCCGGATGCCCTGATGGGCCTGTGAAACCAGGGCTCCCTGGCCTGTGTCCCTCTGCCCTTTTGCCAGTCTTGGCCCCATAACTGCTTTTGGCAATGGTCACAACTTGTTATTTGTGTCACCGATGCTCCAAGGAGCTCGGGGAGACCTGGCCCTGTTAGCGTACCACCCCATCCCTATGCCAGCACTCTCCAGCCCGCTGCACCCCATACCCTCTTGCCCCCCCCAGCATCCCCATCTCTTAGCCCTGCAGCTTCCTGGACCACCCATCCCACACGCCCACGTCCTTCAAGGAACCCCCTTTCTGACTCCCGTCCAGCCACCCTCATCACCCCTTGTCCCCCCCCAGCTCTCTCCTGCACCCCTGCATCCCTACAATTGCTACCTGCCC